CCCATACCTTGTTCTGAATTGCTTCTGCTCCCCTTGGGGATGGCCCAATCTCAATGAAAGCCTCCATCCAGTCAAGGTTTGGCCACCTTGTCACACCATTCTTGGCTAATGGTTTCATGCCTGCCGGTGCCTATGGAGAGGCCGAGCGGTCCCTCCACAGGGAGATTGCCTACTGCGTTGCAGTGACTGATGTGGCAACATTGCATCCCCACCACGGCACCACCCAAAATTGCATCAGTGGAGGCCTCACTCTCTCGTCCTTACCGTTTGGCGCTACCCCAGCTCTGCTCAGGATACTGCAGCTCCATGGCATCCTACTCCACTAGGACTGGATGCTACCCTAGCTCCCCCTGCCTGGAATGCAGGGATCCTCTCCAGTTCATCTATCAATGACTATCATCTCTTCACGTTCACCTGCCCTGCCTTCCCATGTCCCATAGCATCTCCTCACTGTGGGACAGCCCCATGGACGTGGAGCCATGGAGGCAGCGCCGCAGCAGCATTCCTGGCAGCACTCCCTGCCTTGGCAAGTTGGCTCATTTCCCCCCCCCCCTATCTTTTACGCTGAGTAATGAAAAACTATTTACAAGCCACAAACTTATTTACAAGGTTGCATGCACATGTTATCCCAAATAACTAATTTTACCCTAAAAACGGTCCAATTGTACAGCAAGTGTCAACTGAACATTTGATTAATGCAGTCCGACTGCTCTAATGTGACCGCAACTATGTAATTGTAACTTGTAAGCTTGATGTTTACATTTTTTTGGCAGGAACTTATCGTAACTGATTTCCGGGCAAGCTTCACTCACTGCATCCTGATCCATCCAACATATCAGAAACCTTACTTTTTTTTAAATAGTTGGCCAAAGACTGACAAATGTATTAAATGCAAAAATTTCAATCTAAATGTGTCGGCTTCTGATGGCATAAATTTTGCCACTTAAGCGTCACCAAAGATCTTGCAATATTCATCCACTCTCTGCACAGTGGCCTATAAGTAGACCAGTAAAGTATCTTGGATACCAGAATTATCATACATAAGAAATTTGTTGAAATCTTGAGTAAATGAGGAAATTAAAAATGAACTGATTCTAAAAAATTGCTGGTTTGCCACTATGGTGGGCTCACTGGGGCTGGGTCCACTAGGTAGTTGCATCTTCAAACTGGACTGGGACTGGGTACCTACCTAGTGTAGTGGGCCACTACCAGTTACCAACTCTGGAGTCAGGCTTTTTTTCAGTCTCAAAAAGTTTTTGAATGGACATCTCACATCAGACTATAATAATCAGTATCACAGTATGAGTGGTGTAAATGTGAGTCTCTGAGATAATTCAACACAGTCAGAGAAAAGAAATTCAAAGACTTGACATACAGACATACCTACCTAGTAGCTGACACCAGACAGCTGTGAGGACTGAGGTGTGAGCCAGCCACTGAGCCTATGATTGTTATCAGACCAAACTCAAAGCACTATTAGGTACCCTACGCGAGAGGTAAATTGAAAATCTTTAACAAAGTAGAAGGTAGAAAATATGAAATAGTACACTCATAAAAGATCTGCCTGAATCAGTCACTAGCTGTGGCCTGTGAATCACTCAGTCGGACTGATTCTGACTGAGTCAGTCCTGCTCAGGCTACTGTCGTAGCAACAAAAATTGACCAAAAAACAAGTTTGAATAAAATTTTGCATGTAAACCTATAATAATAATAATGTAATCAAATATACATTTTGCAATAATACAAATCTGTAAACTTAACGTGCAAACCTGCCACTTTTAAGCTGCAAAAAAAAAATGATCAGAGGATCACGTCTCTGGAACGTATGAACTACGAAGAAGTCTGTTAACCTCAGCATACTACGCCTGTCCCTACGACACTCTTAATTAACCGAGAGCAATACTAAGAGGTAAGTGCCAAGACGTTCTTCTCACATTATTATTCATGTTATCTATAGAACGCACTTGCACCGCGCGGCGTTAATGATTACGACTATCAGTAACATGGTTTTTAACACACCATTCCTATTAACTCATTGTTGTGATGCTATACTAGGCTCGTTAACGAATCATTCCGTAGTTAACTAAATGCCTCAAATGATTAAACGAAGTAAAGTAGTTATTTAAAATGAGGTTATACAAACAAAGCTCCTATCATAACATCCTTTTAAATTATTAAAGATATATTATGTGTTGAAAACTTAAAGTTGCTCAAATAAGTGGTAAAAATAAACATCATCAGGATCACGTATCCTCCAATTATCAATAAAATGAAGATAGTTTACATATGTGGTTCGTCTGTGGTTCACGCAACTGGCATTGTAGTTAAAAAGAACATACAACTCTAAAAAAATTAAAACGGAATTCATTTTTTTTTTCAGTGATCACGTCACCCGTTTGAGCATATATCGACAAAGTGTCGAGATATATTAAATGATGAGAAGAAGGAATGAGTTGAACTGACTCGCGATAAGTTGAAGGAATAAATCGATAATAAATAAGTTGAACTGCCTCGATAAGGTGAACACTTGCGATGTGAACTCCTCACACGTGGACACAGAAAAATTAGTAAAAAGTACCGTAGTTAATGAAAAAAAAACCGCTTCGAAGTGCCTTGTTATTGTTACAGTTGTTTCCTGTGCATTTTTGATTAATTAATTAAGAATAAATAGCTCCTTACTTTATTTTACATTACTACGAGACGAGACTAATTCCCCCGCACATTGAAAATCTTCAATAGCAAGATAAACTTCGCAATTTTTTCAATTACAATATTCCGTAAAAGGGAACTTCATTACTAATTTCAGTATATTTTCCTCAAATCAATGATGAACCAGATAGAATACGACTTTGCGACTAAGTTTACAATGTCGAAATCGTTTCAAGTAAAGCGGTGCCAGCGTTGATTAGGCAGTTTGACTATCACCGATTCTTTAGCTTTTAGCAGTCTCGAACACGCAATTTACTTCACCAATTTTGCAGTATCTAATCGCTCGACCACATTGCCGATTTTGACCTGACTGTTATCCGCCGCTGGGGTCACACACACATCACACTGCTCATATTTTGGTTCTCCGAATTATTAACACGGAGCCACTCGTCTGCAGTGCGTTTTTATCTCTGTAACATCTGACGTGACTAGCATCCGAGGCTATTTTGACATATCATTTGACTAAGCATGTTAATATCGGCCTATTAAGGTCCTAAACTGTTGTAATTCAGTCGTCACGTAAGTCCTTTGTTGAAGAAGCCCACGCTGGCTAAAATTACATGCTTTGCTAGCAGCAGGGCTCGATTGAGTTCTTTGCTGCCCGAAATGTGCAATGTTGTAGGCTGGCAGCCTTCACCTGGTAACAAGCGTCAACATTTGTAACCTCGGCATTGCTGGGAAGTTAGCGAAAGAACGGAAAGTTTATATGCATCATAGAAAACGTATGGAAAAAGATAACATGCTAGACACGCAAGAGCTCCTCGCGTCACAACAAAGAGAAATAAATTACATATCCTAGATGCTCTGTCCTAGGTTAGTAGGTAACATTAAGGTTGTTGACGTTCACGGTTGATCCTTCAGTCTTCTATGTTCTTACTCACTAGTCACTGAACCGCAAGCCGTCGCTTACTGTGAAGTGATGCAGAGACACATCAGTAATACCGGTACTACACGGGTCTAAGTGACACCATCTGCATAAAATGACACAAAATGGCTACATTTAATCAACACCTATTTTTGAACACGAAGCAAAAGACAGTCGATTCAATTCATAGTCTGTTGTCATTACTTCATAGCTCTTCTTGCACATCAGTTAGCATTCTTCAAGTTACATCGCAACGTACTGAAGCCAAGCACAAAAAATGGGGACCTTACAAATTGTTTTCGATTGGGATATATTGTATCTCTAAGTATTTTATACGGCCTCATATTCATGGAACTTTCGTAGCCGACTGACTTATTTACCGTATGATAGCCAAACAAACAAATTTAATCGTTTTTCTAGGTACAGCTTCTACCAATGATAAGTTCTACTTGAGGCTTGGCCGTCACCGACAAACAATATTTCTCAAAAAGTTGCCATTTCTTGCAACATTTCAAAGATTTGTTGATGAAGTGATGCGAGCAAAGACCGACAAGACTTTGTCTCGTATTGTTGATCTGCAGGCAGAAGTCGGTCAGGATGACCCAGCTGAAAATTAAAGCCCTAATGATCACACAGATAAAAAAACTATAATATTGACCTTGTTTGGCCTTCTAAGGTTCGATCGCCACTCAAATGTCCCGAGCCACTGACTCTCCCATCTGTGAGAGGTCTCAGTGTATGACATCATCTAGATCCACTCTATTACGCAGTTTGATCATCATTTGAAAGCTGTTGCAACAACACGGCAATGTCCTAATAATCGTTTCTTATGTAATCAAGACCGGATAGCAGGTACAATATCGTTATGTGAGATGCGTACGACCTAACTCGCACCAAATAAAACAGGCGAGAAATAAATGACCAACATTGTTCCTCTATCATTTTCATATTGGGCAATATAGCACGTTAAGAAGTCGGACGAGTAACCAGCATCGTCAAATCAGAGCTCTTAAGCAAATTATCAATTGCCGACTATAATGCACTCAATGGAGCCTATCAGGCTGCAAGAATGTTCAGAAGGCTTCAACATGCATAAAAATTGCATATGCAACTAAAAATTAGACGGGAAACGCGTGTGAATTATATTGATAATAATAGTGGTTTCAGCGTTCTTATTAACATCGCACATCATTCACAGCTTGTTGCGGTCTCGAACACTCGACTCACTGCTCCGATTCTGCTATGCTAAACCGCACGGCCTCCTTGCCGATTCTGGCCAGAAATCAGTCTTTATACTCAACTATAACCACTGGGCCACCTTGTACTGTATCAATGCTGATCTTATTTGACAAGTAAAACTTAGTTTATCAGCAATTGGATAATATTATGAACTGATCCTTCAGCTTGATTATAATAAATCCACATAGTTGCTCGTCAAGTTTATTGTGATGTCAAGAAGGTTAAAAAGTACCGTAATGATATTTTTTCTGGAAGATTTCATTAATAACTGTCCAGGAAAATTTTCTCGTTTCATTAAACAGAAGATTTATCGTTTCGGTGCGATGTTTGCACCGGAACGAGAACTAAGCATACTCATACTTCTAATAAGCATACTCAATAATGTATTTGACTGAGACATCAGATTTGACTGGTCTAGAGGTTTGACTGCCACCAAGACAAGTACGTACACTATAATGATGTCACAATATAAAGCACAAATGCCATCAGGGAATAATTCGGTGTATACGTTCAAGTGACTGGATTGCTCTGAAAACAAATGCTGTTCCAAATTCAACCACAAGTGTTTATACAACTTGAGCATGGTTGAAAAAAGTTTGAAAATATATGAACACAGGAGCGGACAGAGGTCACATAAAGATAAAGATGATTACTTGCATTTTATGTAACACACTTAATTTTAAATTCCTCATGAAGGCCTTCTGACCTATAAGTTAACTTATAAAGACTGTCACAACAATGGTAGGAAAGATTAGATTGCACAGCAATCAGCAGAGTACAAACATTAATTCCAATGCATGACTCATTTAACTTATGAAATAATACTTAATCCTGTGCCTACTCCAATGTAGAGCCTGCAAAAGAAAAGCCTTCCCAAGAAAGTGCTGTGTAACTGATAGTGCCGTCGAGTTTGACGAATGCTATGAGCGTTTTACGTTTGCTGAAGTTATTAAGACGAACAACCGCAGTCATATCTCTCATATGTAGACCAGCTTGACCGTCTTCACTGTCATCAGCTGTGGCAGGAACAACCACTACTCCATACATGGCATGAACTAAAATTGGATCGTCAGTATAGAGGAGAAAATCTACACCGCAGTCAAGGCCTGATAGCAGCCAGTAGCCTCTCTCCCATAAATCTTTGAAGGCATGATAGACCAATTTATCTCTTCGTCTTGAAGGAAAGTCCCAGGGGGCTTTCTCACTTTTCAATTCTTTAATAAAAGGACACTCATTGTGGATCCGAACAAGCATGGATCCTAGTTTAGGAGGTGGAATTTGATTAATTTTATCATTGATAACTTTCTCCTTGGTTAATTCAGAATCAGGGACCTTTTTAGGATCCCCTGGATCAAGCTTGTCATTTTTCTTTTTGGCACTTTGCAATATTTTGTCTGCATTTTTAGTGATATGTCTTTTCCTGTCCTCATAATATTTCTCTACTTGCAAGGCCTGATCAGAGTCAAGCATCATCCCTCTAAACTTCTCCTCCAGGTTTTCTGTAGAAGTATTGCTCAAATCAGGGTTATGCACCAACTCAATGACACCCATTTCTTGGAGTATCGTGGCTGCTTCTTTCATGAGCATCATGGGCAGGCCTTGTGTCTGGACTTGCTGTGGATTATCCGGTAGTACACCATCCATGATACCAACTATTCCGTGACTGCGCAGCTTTTGCACATCAGCCACATTCCAGACAAGTGCATTTCCATCTTGAACCAATACCTTCATTGGGCTCACGGCAGCTGCCATCCTGAAATTTAAGGCATTGATATAAATTCAACACTTATTGACATCAAAACCTAATAGCATTAAAAATAGCATCAAAATTGATTGAATACTTGAAATAAATGCCCTAAACAAAAAAGAAAATAACTTAAAATGATTGATTTTACAGTTTTGGGAGAGTTCCATTAGAGCCAGAGTGGAGCATATCTATCTACACACCATTCAAAGTGCCAGGGGTAATTCCCATACTGTAATGCAGGGCTTTTGAGTGGAGATATTGTCAGCTAATTAATTTATTAACAAGCAATTTTGACCATAAATTAATGATTATTCGGATTTGCTGGTCAGGACCCAATCAAGTGATTTATTGATTGACAGGGTATGTTAGTTGCATTGATTGGTGATTGTCATTAACCTATTTCGCATCAAGTCCATTTCCATATTAATCATAATTTGCCACTCAAGTGTAATCAAGAGGTGCCAGCTGCCTTGATTGTACATCAGTTTCTTTGAAGCAATAGATTGTTATCTTTAGGAAAATGGATCAGCTCTTTTGACTGTTGAATCTTCTTTGCAGACTAATCAGATCTAGGGGGTGAATAAGTGAACTGACAAGTCAGAGGAGGATGCAAGACCAAAATCCAACAACCATGTAGGACAAAAAATTTGTGGCCAATGAATACATAATTTTTTTTAATGTGTTGGGTACACTGAGTATCCCTATATGGACTATTCTTCAAAGTAGCATAGCCTCTTGTATGGAACAAAAAAAAATCAGCTGCTGTTCTGTTACTGTGTCATGAACTTATCATCTATATGCTTGTTCTTCTTCAGAGCAACAGCTAAATGTTTGGTAAAAATATAACATTTAAATTTCTTACTTTTAATTATTGAAATTGGAAATGTACCTACAACTCCTGTTTTTTATGGTGTATTTGCTTTAAATCAAATCACACTCCACAATGTTGGAATATGAAAGGACAGAAATGAAGGTACAGAAATATAAAAAAGAATAACCATTGAAATAAGTGAACAAATAAGTGAACAAATGGGTAAACTTGTCTAAAATTTATGGAAAACTAATAGTTTGAACCACAAGTTCTCAAAGAAATGACTTAACAAAATGGGAAACGTTGAAGGAAGAATGCTTCTAACAATATTATGCAATTTTACATGGGTAGTGAATTATATCCCAATGATTTATTTAAAAAGAGATTACATAGAATAAGTAGAATCACTCATCAACAACTTCAAGTGAAATAAACCATAAAATAAAAGGTGATGGACACAAGTTATCATCAAAGCTGGTAAAGGAACCACAATGCATTACGTAAGAGCAATAGGGGATACAGGGCAAGCTTATAATAGCAAATAGGCTATGTAATTGGATCACTGATCTCAAATAAGGATAAAATCACCCAGCTGTAAACTTCATCTTGCCCTAGCAAGGAAAACTACTACTCTCTGAACTGGAACTTGATTTTTGAGCCGTGATTTTATGGATTGCAAGCCTTGATTAAATTTCTCAGTCATGAATACCATATCCTGGCCATGAAAAGCCATTCATGAGCCGCAAACTCATTTGCAAATTCCTGTGTACATGTTACCCCAAATCTATAATTTTTCCCTGCAAACAAAAATAAGAACATGTGTCTTTACTTTGGAGGCAATGGAACATGTGATAATATATTGCTTACATTTATGTTAATGAATAAACACTGTAATAATGTAGTCTGAAGTGACCTCAACTATGCAATCACTGCCAAAATGTTTTGGGTTCACCCATTATGCAGGATATTTTGACAGGAGCCAGGTTTCATAGTGTGGCCAGAGTTGTCAGAATTTCAACAACTTGCAATGAAGTTATCAACCAATTTTTTATTTTTCCAACGACTATAAACCGGGCTTAACAATTAATTATTCATGTTCAAGAACTATGAATCTACAATGATTTTTTCAAACAATACATCAACCATATGTCTCAACTCATACATTCTTTTTTGTACTAATATTCCAAATTTTGAGTAGATTCGTTCAGTATTGCAGGAGTTATGAGGGGTTCAGTTGAGCGTGTGATAGGTTTTCCCTTTGAGTCTGCAGGCGAGTTTGCACACAAGTCTGGAAGTGTCAATTCTGTCAGAAATTTAGCCTCTTCTGCCTTCTAAATGTTATTTTTATACATTAGATGTATAATTTGCACAACCATCTACCTGATTGATAACTATTTCAGGAATTGTCTAATTGAATAGCATCATAGCTGATGGTATAGCATCTTCATGGTTGAAGAATAGGCCAGTCACCAATTCTTTTTTTTTTTTTTTCTTCTGTTTTGTTCAAAAGTTTCATTATCGTTGAAATGCAGCATTCGCAAAAGGCAAAAAAATTGACTTCTAGCAATATTTCTTTTCACAAAATCATAGGCATAAAGTGTTTTCTTTGACCAAAAGCATTCCATACACGGCTTGTAGACAAGGCCCATAGAGATCATGATGCCAAGACACCTTCTTATTTCTTCATTATTTGTCGGTTTCCATTCTGATAGAAGTGACTTCCTAGTCGCTCTTTGAGTTTCAAGAACTTGCTCTGCATATCTATTTGTTTCCTGAACAATATGCAATATAACATTGTTTACAAATAATTTGAGGGCATCAATAGCTGAAACAGTTCCATCTGCTTCAGAAGATGCTGTGATGCATGACGGAGAAGTATGTACAAGTTTAACTTTTCAAACATGAGTGCAACTGTGAACACCAATTTTGTGCACCAATTAGCCGTGAATGGATCGCCTAGCACATTTGTATGCATGAGCGAACATCAGCGGCGGGTCGAGCCTGCCAGCAGTAACCTGCCCATGACACAATAATAATATAATAACAGTATTAGCGGTGTCAGAATTTTTTCCGCCGTTGGCCTGTTGCCGATTCTTGACATCGCAAAACTTCCACACTTTGTTGTGGTCTCGAACATGCAACTCACTGCTCCGATTCGGCAATGCATAACCCCCCGGCCTCGAAGATTCAATCCAAAAACCGCCGTAGAGAGCTGGGATCGAACCCCCACCTCTCTGCTCCAATCCTGGTAATCTAAATTGTAGCCACTGGGCCACCCTGCCCTAAACTAAACTGTGCTCAGCACAGTTTAGCCCAGCTAACACAACAACTGCCCAGAACAACTAACTGCGATCAATTAGCTCAGCTCGTCAGTGGAATTGCATGAAATCTGACATGCAACATGAAATAACGGATGGAATATGACTTCTGTTACATCATTATATTGCATAATTTTTAGCTCACATCATTTGAGGTTGGGTTTCACATAGTTTAGTTATGTTCCAAAATTAATTGCCTTTCGATGAATTGTCCTTTTCACAGGCTGATTTGATGCACAGCACAGGTCAGTGGGGGGCACCGTATGCACTGCAAGGCTGTGGCACTAAATGTCCGAATGAATAATGATGCAAAAATTTTTTGTGCATTTGCAGATGACGCTAGGCCATACTATAGCAGGTAGATCTACTTAAATGGATTTGAAAGCCACTAACACTCAAGGATTCAACACTTATGGACAGAAGTGTTGAAAGGCAGGCTACATACAGTACTGGAGGAAGGAACCAAGGTGGTATAATCGAAGCAGGGCAGTGTTGGTCTCCGACAAGCAACCCTCTCGAATGGCATTTCTCTTTCCCCTTTCAAGCTCTTCTGATGAAACGCTTTTTTTTTCAATTTCTCTATGTGGATAAAAAGTTAGAGTCCCAGGTTAAGAGAGAACCATTTTTAACATGAATTTAGCATAATAGGTAGTTTCTTTTCTCATTTATTCTTCGAAGTGTGACAAACAAATAGGTCTTCCATCATGCTCATTTCCATTGAATTAAAAATAAATGATGCTCAATATATGTATGGCCTAAGCATTCATTAACATTTTGAGCCTGTGAAACGAGCTGTGTGTAGAGCAGGCCATTCTACAAAATTTCATGTTGGTCTAAATATTTTCTAAATGCAAATTAACTCACATTTACCTTCAATTGAAAAAAGCTGAAATTTTTATAAGACGTTTATCGTTGCAAATGGATTTTTGCCTAGAATCACACAACACATGTATTAAATTGCTCGTAAAAAAGACGCATCATTTTAAGGATTTTTTGTTTCTTAAATTATATTAGTTGTAGCTATAAGGTAGCCTTTTTAAGTTATTCTGTTTGAGCTTATATTTCATAGCAGGTGAATCATTTTTGTTTACTGGTTGGTCAAAACATCTTAAAAAGTGTTTCCCAAACTTTGAACGTTTGACTCTTTTTTTTTCTTTATCATAGAATTTATCATTCCACAAAATATTCAAGTCCGCGGTTTAGTACCACGCTCTCGTCATACTCGTATATATTAAACTGTGACAGCAGCAAGAACATTATGTCGAAGATGAAGATCTTGAACTTGCCTCTCAGACTTTAGTAAAATTGTGTTATATTTTTGTAATATTGTAAGGTAGGCATTAGCATTAACCAAAATACATGTGAATTAGGGAATAATGTTTAACTTCTATTTCTAGGGCAAAATTTGAGCTTAGCTATTCATGAATAAATCGTGATCACATTGCCACCAAGAGTTTGCAACTTTGCGGTTCATGAATGGCTTTCCACGACTTGAAAATTTGTTAGTTTGTGGCTCAAATAATCCAATCGCGGCTCACAGAGTAAATGTTTTCCTCCCCTGTATCTAGGTGTTAAAACTCTCTCAAGCCGCATTTGA